TACCGTTCTCTATGATTAACTCTTCTTTCCACTTGAGTATAGTTGGCTGTTGGGTGATGCCTTTGTGAATTGAAACTAGAAATGATAATCGATAGAGTAAATATGAATCAAAAGCATTTTTGTGAACCTTTTATTAATATTGTTTCATATATATAACTTGACCTAGTTGTAGAATGCTGCATTTTATCATGTACGAAAAATTCATGACTATATCTTCTTTTTGTAGGGTGAAAACAACATTGAAATTCAGACACTATGAAAAATATGCATGGACGTTTGAAATTTGCCTATATGCTTACTATCAATTTTTTTTCTATTGTATGATTTTCGAATTATTTATGGAAGCAAACGTCGATCTACTCTAGTCTTGATTTCCTAGCTGTTTTTTGAAATTAAACGTAAACTACTCACTTTCTGTTACGTTCTTACTATAACATGACTTGTTTTCCAAACACTTGACTCTGTTTGACAATTGTCTGTAATCTCCACTTATGTTCCCTTGAACTGCTTCAAGTTGATTTAATATTTGCTCTTGCGCTTGACTCATGTTTACTTGAAATGCTGCAAATCGATGTAACATTTGTTCATGCTCCTGACTTGTATTGCGCTGAATTGCTTTCACTTGACCACTGATTCCATTGATCTTGTTCAACAATTTTTGTTCTAATTGATCCATGCGAATCGAAAAATTATTTTTTATGTCATTACTACTGCTCTTTAGTCCCTCAAAAAATTTGTCGACTATGTTCGTCAATCGATCGACTTTTTCTTCAAGCGATGAATAAATCAGCATCGTTTTTGCATCCTTCCTTTGCAAGGGACACCGAAGAGATAAAACGTGCACGTCAGGTCGCATGCGAACCAGAGCGGTATGAGAAAGAAGTTTCGTTTCTACACATCACGTGCTCTGCTTCACGAGATGAACATCGATCGGCTTCGGACGAACACGATCACCTTCAAGATACACATGATCGAAGTTTTCAGCAAGAAACTTGTCAACCTCGGTACATGAGAGTGTATTTTTTTCCTTCAATTCGAGTAACGTTTAAGTGGCTCTGATCTTTGTTTTTCCATGTTTGTGGTGTTCAACGTAGTTTGCACGTTTTGGATAATCTGTGATTGTGATTCTCCACTATCACCTACACTTCCACCAAATCGAATGGGACCCATACCAATACTGGCACTGTCCTGCCCTTGACCATACTTCGAGGAGAAATCATTGGAGTATCGTGCATTAGTCGACAATAATTTATCGAGCTTTTCCAACAGATCAATATCATGTTGAGTCAAGTCAAGTTTTTGGGCATTCTTAGCTGCTGTATTGTTGTAAACAAACCGATCACTGTCATTGGATTCCTTACGTAAAACAGTATTGATTACTTTGGCCAGACGATCCGGTCGCATTTGTTCTCTTGTACAATACAGTGAGTCCCATAATCGATCATCTGCTTTTTCCAAATGTACCTGTGTATATTATATACAACGTATGCTAGCTATCTGTCATAATGAAAGAATCAATAAATCACTTGCAGTTGCTAAAAGTGTTAAGTACGAACCAGGATAAATAAAGAGAACCTAAAGTCACTCTCGATTATTCTACTTTTGATTTGAAAATACTATAAAAGACAATATTTTTTTGTGTGTAACGGAAAATCCAAACTTATCAATTGCGAATTTGCTAAGAAGTTACTAATGCTAATTCTAGCGTCAGATTTAATGCGACAGATTCTACTAGTCTCAATGGAAGTGTTCACCTCTCTTTTTACTGTGAAAAATTTTGCAGCTCTGACCTATTTGAATTGTAGTTGTTTTTCGAGCAGTTTGTCAATAGGCACTGGATCTTGAAAACCATCAAAACCTTCTTGAACTCGTAATTTTATAGCCACTCTGTCAGTGACTTCGCTGAGTAACTGTCTGAAATCGTTTCCGGTCAATGCCACAATATCAGCTGTTGGTAATTGAGATCGAATATGATTGTACATTGAAGAACCTGTAATATGTTCGCTCGTGATCTCAATTTGTCGCTCAACAGTCTTCTTTGAATAAAGCGAATATTGAATTTCGAAATTCGACATTTGACATCGATCGATAATCACTATGCGTGCCTGCTGACAGATGCTTATGTTCACCGTATAGATGATAAACTGAAAAGATTGGAGAAGAAGAGTATTTGAATGCCATTGATCATCGACTGTGTATTTGTGACGCGGCACATTTCCTTGGAGACCCTTTTGAACGAGACGAATAGCATTCATAGGTAAAAGAGAGACATCACATATCGTGCTTATATTCTCTTCAGCATCGCCACTGCAGAGTCGAATAACGTTTGTTGAGATAGGTACGAACATCATGAATCAATTGTGGAGTGTAAAGATCGACCGAGAGAATGAGCTCTGTTTGACCGCTCCATTCATTTTCGTGACATTCTGTACTTGCAGGATTGAGGCGTGGAAATGGAGTAAAGAAGATATCCGTAGGTTTTTGCTGATTTTGAGCGAGTAAAACTTCTCCATCTTCATATTTGATTCGACCGATATTACTCGTGTGCATCTCGAGTTGAAATATGCCACCATTCGACGACTTTTCCTGAGCAATTGAGCTTGCCGTCGTAATGATAAATAAATCAAATAGTAGGAAGACGATATTTCTCTGCATCGTGCACGAAACCTATGTCGATTGTTTATGAAAAGACTTATAGCTGTATGCCTATAGTATAATAAATATATCTCCATTCTATGAAAGATTACCCGATGATAGAGACATGACATGATGCACAGACAAGACGATAGTCAATGGCAAGTGTAGGAAACAGCTGCTAGAAAAGAATTAAGATAATATTTTCTTTTCTTTCTGCAATAGAAAAATGTTTAGTCCTGTCCAAGAGAGTCAGACAACCACTGTGCCCACCTAGTGTACGAGAGAATATGGATAGATTGACACATTAACTGCATAAGAAGTTATTTAACATCATTGTTGACAGCAGCACAACTTCAAAATACAAGTGCAATGATTCGAAGAGAATTGACAGATTGACATGAGAAATAGAAAGCAAATTCGTACAATCACTTATTTCTGCCATCAATCACTCATCTTATGAATATATGTAATACTATTGACATTTACAAACGAAAATACAACTATATAACTGCATGAAATGATGCTAACAAACTTCTTGATATACATCTGAAAAATTCGATCAATGACATGGATGATTTTAAAACAACATAGTTCACTATTACGATCGTTTACTATAAGACAAATGGCAATAAAAACACGATCATCTTCTTTCGAAAAACGAGTATGGGTGTGAGTGTGAATTCATCTTGTCTTGATCCATCCACATCCGTATCCGAAAAAAGACAGAAAAAAAGATTATTTTTTACCTTTGCCATAGCTTTTTATTACTACTCGGAATCCATCTATTCTGAAAACTTCAAAATTTTAGATTCGAACATTCCTGACAAAACCTGAAAAATGAGAAAAAGCTTGTCTTTTAAGCATATACAACGAGAAATATTTTTACACAAAAGTATTTTTCGCTTTATTTGGTTTTTTTCTATTTTTTTGACATATTAATTAATCTGATAAGTAGTAAGATTGATTTTGATTGTTGTATTATTAGTCAACATTCACAATTGTTTTATTTCTAGATTATATTTGTAATAAAAAAGTATTAAATTATCTGAGTTGTAGAGTATTGCAAAGTATCAAATTATTTTGTTTTTTTCTATTGCGATTGTAGAGATTAAAAAAAAGGAGATCATGATGGTACAGTTAGATTATAGTTTTTTTTGATTTAGTAGTCTTCTCTTAATTAATTTTGACCATTCATAAGATAACCACCACTTTCGGATCTCCCTATATGATTAGAATTTAAAAATTTGTTAAATTGATATGAAATTGATATTGTGTTATATCATTTTACCTTATAAAGAACGAAAAACATTTCTTGTGCAAGATATTAAATACCGATTATAACTCCACATCATCTGTGTCTTCACATAGACAACACCCGTATACAGATATGACAGAGTTTCCAAAATATTCAATTATTATTATATATAAATCTCTCATTGTTTCTAGATAAGTTTGTATTTTTAAGTAAATAACACTGAATTTATAATTTGCCGGCATTTTCCTTTTTGTACACTTTGTGATCAATAGTGTAAAAGATTTACCGACTATAAACATTGATATCCATATAAGGCTATTGTAAAAATTGTCTATTAAATTAAACGAGAGTTTTTCTTTGTAGTTAGATGCTGCCAACATTTTTGTTTTTAGTTTTTTGTCAAGAAAAACAATTCTTCATTAATGTTAAGCTTCCTCAGACTTTCTACAAGTATGAAAGTGCTACTGCCGCTTGTTTTGATATGTCTTAAATAACCAATGGTTATCTTCACTTATCATAATATTTGTCTTTTTACGAACAACATATTACCTTGCTTCAAAGGAGAAAAAGCTAACTTCGAAGCATCGGAGTCAGTGAAGTCTCGGAGTCATCTTTTTCCCCCTTGCCTTGTTTACTACTTGTTTTATAATTGAAATCAATTTTGTCTAAGATCTCGTCTAAATTGCTCAATCTGTCAAAAGAAGTAAATCTAGATGGTAATATTCAGTAATACGATGATCCAATAGGTTATATATTGTGTTTGACAAATATACATAGGAGATCTAATTACTTTTCTCTATCATATTCTGCATTTCATACAGATACCTGAAAATCACAGATGGTGTTTTTATCTTGAATGCACCATTTTATCTTATAAATACCTTGCATTATTTTTTTGCTGCGTCAGAAAAATGACAAACGTTGCAGGTGATAAATCAAAGGATTACAGTTAAAATGATACTATTTAAAACGATGAAGTTTGCAATAGTTTGTTAAAAGTATAACATTGGCAAAAAAAATGATGAAAACAACAATATTTGCTTTTTTGCTCGCTACTTTCATTGTGATTGGAATCAATGCCGAACCATATCTAATTTTTCCTCAACACATGTTACCACCAACTGGTATTACTTATAATATTACTTTTAAAGGTGTTACCAATACAATTCCCGTATCTGGTGTTTTTGCCATACAGACTGTTACTGCGGAAGATAAAAAAACCATAATTGGCTATCGACTTTGGCAGGGATATACAAGGCAAACTAATGAAATAATTTATACAGTATCATATACAAATGGTACCGGTCTTCAAGCAACAGTAAATCCTGATACGCAAGAATGTATTAGTGTTTATTCTCAGCAAATCAATTGTACAGGCTGGTCAAGTACTAATGTCTTGAGATGGAATAATTTGTGTTCAGACTTTTCGACGGAAGAACACAAGAGCATTTCAAGAATGACCGTCAATGCAGATGCCTCTGATTTAAAACGTCCAATTAGTTTGAATATGACAATAACTATGGATGGTACACCTTATAAATTATTCTCTACTTATCAGTTTTCATCAAAAACTGAAGGAGAAACGTTTCCCCATGTTAAATGTGGTTTTTAAGAAATATAGCAAATAAAACCTGATAGAGCACTCCTTTGGATCTGAAATGTGGAATTCGCAATATTCTACGTAAGCTAGAATGCCCAAAGCCATTTAAAACTACTTGTTAAAGCCTGTAATCTAGACGTGAAGTACAGAGCCGCATCCATACCGACACCCACTCATGTATTAGAAAATTCTGAACAATTTCGTAGTTATTTTCTATTTCAAAACATTCTTTAGCCATAAAGAATTCATGTTCTGAAAGACAAATTTTTCCAGTTTGAATCAATTCGTCTGTTTTTTTGAATAAATTGATCTAATAAATCATTAAAAAGATGATTTTGGTAAAAGATTAGTTAATTTGTTGATAAAAAAATGATATTATTTTAAAAATGCATTTTTTTTGCTGATAAGTTTTAATGCTATCAATTTTATCTTTCTTTTCATCTAAGCAAAATAGCCAATCATCTTTTAAGATATTTTCAAAAGCTTCAAAACAAACATTTCTCTAGATTCCTATGGTCTTTCCTTAAGTAATGATGGAAAAGCGTGTTTGGTAATATTTTTCTTAAATTGATTGAATTTCTAAAAAAAGTTCATGTCCAACTCCAAGGTAAAGAATATTTTTTGTTTTAATTCAGATAACATGATTGCTTCTTTATTATCTCTATTAATTTTTCTCCTTCAATAATAATAGTTGATAATTTTTCTAATTTTCTTGTCTCTATTTCTTAGAATATTAATTTAAGTCATACATTTCTTCATAGATAGCTTTATCTACTTGTAAAATAAATTGTCTCGCTTTTTGAGCTCCATTGCCAGCTTTACGTCCAAAAGCTTGTACATCGACATGAATATCAGTTCTTCATTCACTTTTATTCGTTGCAATAATGACATCACTTGATCTAGCAGATTGATGTCCATCTCTTCGATATTTTTCTTTGGTATAAGGAGGACCAGTATGTTATATGAATTCATTCCAAATAACTTCTTGTTATTCAGCTTTTTCACAAATAATTAACCCATTCGCCACGATGAGTCCCACAGGTCGGACCCGCTTATACACAGTTGAGAGGGTGTGGGTGTGGGTGTGGGTGTGGGTGTGGGTGTGGGTGTGGGTGTGGCTGGGTGTGGGTGTGGATGTGGCTGGGTGTGGGGTGTGGGTGAGTGTGGGTGTGGGTGTGGGTGGGTGTGGGTGGGTGTGGGTGTGGGTGTGGGTGTGGGTGTGGGGTGTGGGTGTGGGTGTGGGTGTGGATGTGAGCGTTGAGAAAGATAATAATACCCACACCCACACCCTGGAATCTGTGATTGAAAACTCAGCTGAAGTTCACCTATCATAAAACAAATAAACAACTTGTATAAAACTTCTACTCGAATATTTAGGTCCCTTGGCATCGGAGACTGAAGATTCATCAGATGTTCATCGATCATGAAACAAACGAACAATTTACATAAACCTTATATTCGAATATTTAGCTCGCTTGGCATCAGATTTTGAAGATTCATCATATGTTTACAGAGTATGAAACAAAACAACAGGTCGTAACAGGCTTCTATTCGATTATCTTTATCTGAGTTCATTAAGTGTGACTAGCAATAATATAAGTTACAATGGGATCATAGAAGAGTCGTTTTTACAAGGAATAGATTCATTTATTCTTTTTCTGATTGTACTCAACATTCTGTGGTCTTGATGTGGCTGAAAGTCACATCAGAAAAAAATAGTTTCAACTCAAAAGTACCTTCTCGAATTTCTTCATTACACAAAAGTCAATATCTGAAGTGACAAACTGAGTATGTGATCATACACATATTGAATAGCTGAGCTATACGTTCGTTCTCATATTTGCCGTTTTATGAACAAATGAGTTCAAATTGACAACGGAGGCATTGATTGAATAGTTTTCGATAACGGTTTACGGTCACAGGTATTTCCACATTTAAGAACGACAAATAACGATTAGAGAACGACAATCATGCTGTACAAAGACTGCTGGTTTCTCGAATGATGCAAACAAGCGCTTTGTTCAAATATGATGCAAATATTTTGATCAATTTGGACAACTCATTCGATGGAAAGCTGGGGAAACTATGGTCAGCTTGGTGCATGCACAGCTTATCAAGAACTTTGCGGTAGTAGTTCTCTTCAGAATTTTGGAACCTGATATTAAATCAAACTTTCGTCGCTTTTATGGAAATAAAATATCATTCAGACAGTTACTTGATTCTTTAATAGATTTTTTTCACTTCGTTATGTATTCGTTATGTTTAACAGTTTGCTGAATCAGTCACGATGCTTATGTATTTTAAAGACAGAAACAAGCGGTGGGGTACGAGAATCTGAGCCTTAACTAGTTTTTTTTTTCATTGCGAGAATGATGAAACGTTTGTGTTGATGAAGGTCTTCTCAGATACAGCTACTAGAAAATAGGGTTGACAAGACATTAATCTGCATAATGAATTTGAGATATCTCTAACATTTTTTTGAGACAACAAAGTAAGACTTTCGAGCAGGAAATATGTATGAGAAAGGGGTTTAGCTGATTCCAAATCGCTTTATTACCTGAAAAAGGATCAGGTAGTCGAGCAAAAGTTGTGCCAGACTTCACTCTACAATGTTTCTATCTTAGAAACGTTTAGAACAGTAATCGAGATCAATAAAGTTATGGGTAGGTCTATTGATCAGATTGTTTGTGGATGTAGGTGTACATCGTGCTCCATTCTTTACATACACGCAGGCCTACATTCATAACCGTAGTCTCAAGTCGGTACAATACTTCTTCTTTTCAAATCTTAACGAGCTTCTCAAAAAATAACTCGACCATATCAACGGAATTTGACTGAGTGTGTTCAATAGGCTGTTTATTCTCTAGGTAGAACCCTTTCTTGAAGCACAGAAAAATATTCGAAATAGAGCTAGACTACGCTTAAACTTCAAAAGATCCAGACAATGGTATCTATACCTGGATACACTGAAATGTTCAGTTTGATACCTATGTATTTTTACAAACTGGATAGCTGAAGTAATTGAAAGCAAGAACTCTACGTCAGGCCAGTCTTCGGTCCTAAGCTACTGCTAGTATCAGTTGTAGGGTAGATATCAGACTCTTGAATCTGGCGTTAAGCAGTTCTTCTGGTGGCAAGATAACTGCTAGACAGTCCAATTTTTCCTTCTTGATTGTAAAATATCGTATTAAAAGGATGAATAGGTTTCACGATTCCCAACCATGGCTGTGACAGTTACGATCACGCCTGTAGCTAATCTTCACCGTACTATGTTCGGTTACATCGAGAGTAGTTTCTAGGCAAAAGACACTACTTAGAATGGATGTGGTTTTTTCTTTTCTATTTCTAATGGTCGCATCAAATAAAAATGGAAAAATATCATGACCATTATCTTAACAATGCTAATCCTTTGACTACAACTCTTCTGAGGGTAGCTATTAAAACCACTACAACAAAATATTTTTATTGGAAAAGTGTGCAACTCGAAATGTTGTCTAGTACTTTTGAGAAAGCTTCGAAGGCTATTTCAAATATGTTGTCTTAAACAAATGAGGGCAACTGTCAAGATCCTTTTCTAACAAAGCCATTTTCAGTAAATCTCAAAACATATTAAAACAGCGTTTATCATTTACGTTATAATCTGTTTCAGTTATTAAAAAAGGTGAAATGAAAATATCTGAAGTTATAAGATCGAGAAGTAGGACGAAGCCCCTTAAGAAAACAGATGAGAGCAAGGTTTATTAAAAAGTAGTATCGAGTCGAAGACTTTCACAATCAAAAATTAATGCGCAAATATGTTCCTAGATCGCCGTAGATAAACAACTCACAAGTTCAAATAAAAAGAGTCTGGTATTCAAAATAAGTTACAGAACAACAATACACACTCCTATAAGCAGTGTTCATATTAAAAGTTATATTTTATCATACATATGTGAGTATTTTTCTCAATGCTAACTGTTCTGCTAATGACAAACGAGAAAAATCTTCTCTGAAAGTATAACTGATGCCATGAATCTTCATGAATAACTAGCTCCCTTTCACAGCTGTCTTAACAAAATTTTCGATGACTAGTAGATTCGAAATCTTTAACTTCTAAAATTTTATATGCATCAACAAGTTCAATGTCAAACATTAGTTGATTATTTCGGAACAGAATATGCTAGTGTAATGTAGACCGGAAAGGACATATGTACGTGAATCTTAAGCTTGACGAAAGATTTCTCAATAGGTGTATAACGTTTAAAAAAGAATTCAAGTCCAACGAAAATCTATTGTAAAAGAGATGCTTGTATACATTTCATGAACATTAACCTAAAATCGAGATGTTCGTGGGAATGAAGCGAAGTAAAATTCAATAGAATAAGAATCAGCTGACTGAACTCAGTACTGTCGCACTCCTAATTGTGGTTCCACCGATCATGAATTGGAACGATGACGGTTGACGTTAAAGATTCAAAACTTTCTACATCCAGTTTACCGCAGATTTTAGGTTCCTTTCACCATTTTAGCAAAAACGAGTTTGGATCTAGCGTACAGCTTTATCTATGAACTAGATTTATTCTAACATAATCTTTTAAGCCAGATAAGACGAACAATCATATGGTACATAAATCGAAAGGAGTAAAAAAAACGTCCATTCGAACTCAATTTGATTCTATAAAAAAACGTCTTCCCATCCATTAAGCAAACTTTTGGGTGACGAAGAATACCAAATACACAGTAATTTATCTAGAATCATATACATACAAATCGATAGCCAAAAATTGCTATTACGGTGGTAGTGTTTGTTGAAACTATAGAGGCACTAAGTTTGGTTTGGCATGAAGGGCTAATCTGTTATCTTTGTAATTTTTTTCTTCCAGAATAATGGCTTCCGTATGTTTAATTATGTGGTGACAACCTTTGTATCTACCAAATCAGACTTTTTCGTTGCGATGTTGTTTAGTTTTTCGACACTTATTTACGACTATATCATACAGAAGAAGCTTTATTGATCTGTCGGTGTTCCACGA